AACTGGTTGATCAGCCCACCAGGATCCCAGATATTCCAAGTCAAGCGCCTTCTTTACTGGACCTTCTGCTCACGACCCATCCACAGGGCTATCAGGTTGTGGTAAGAGCCCCCCTGGGCTCGTCCGACCACTGCCTGATATCTGCCAAAGCACCACAGGCCAAGCCTCCGCGTCCAGCAGTGGTCAAGCGCCGTATCTGACATTATGGGTCGGCAGATTGGGACGGTATGCGTGATTACTTTGCGTCCGTCCCTTGGAAGCAGCGCTGCTTCAGTGACAGGGACCTATCGGGCAGTGCCGTTGCCATTACTGAGGAGATCATAATGGGTATGGAATACTATATTCCTCATTCTGATCTCATCAGTAAGGGCACACGTAACCTCTGGTTCAATCACGACTGTGCTGAAGCTGCTTCGCGTAAGCAAGCGGCATATCGTGCTTGGATCAGAGGCCGCGCTCTCAAGGATCCCGGGGTCGATTCACTCAAAGCAGCCTACAATTCTGCTTCCAAGGCCTGTAAGAAGGCTTACATCAGAGCGGATGCCCAGCGTGTTGCACGTGTTGGCCAGGAACTTATAACGCATCCTGCGGGCTCCCGTAGCTACTGGCGTTTGGCCAAGGCCGTGCAAAAAAACTTCTGCCAGCCCTCGCTGCCACCTCTGAGATGCCCAGACGGAACACTAGCTCATAAGCCGCAGGAGAAAGCCGATTTACTGGCAAATCTCTTTGCGGCTAACTCCCGAATCGATGATTGCAATGCACTGCCACCATCATTACCTCACTGTGGCACAACGATGCCTGATATTAAAATCAGGCAGCGTGAGGTTCGTGCCGAATTGCAATCACTCGACGTCCGGAAAGCTAGTGGACCTGATGGCATCCCAGCAGTAGTACTTAAAAAATGTGCAGCGGAGTTGTCTCCCGTGCTCACGCGCTTGTACCAATGCTCGTATTCTTTGGGGCGTGTGCCGGAGACTTGGAGAGATGCTAACGTGCAACCGGTGCCCAAAAAAGGGGATCGCTCAGACCCGGCAAACTATCGGCCAATAGCAGTCACCTCAGTTTTATGTAAAGTTCTAGAAAAGGTCCTTAATAACCATCTGACCCGCTACCTAGAGGATCACTCCCTGATTAATGATCGTCAATATGGATTTAGACCGAAACGATCGACGGGTGATCTTCTAGCGTACTTAACTCATATCTGGGGTGAGGCTATCGACAAGCGTGGCGAGTCGTTGGCTATCAGCCTTGACATTGCCAAGGCGTTCGACAGGGTCTGGCACAAAAGCCTTCTCTCCAAGCTTCCGGCATACGGTCTGCCAGCCCAGTTCTGTTCTTGGGTAGCTGACTTCCTGCATGAGCGTAGAATTCGTGTCCTTACGGATGGTAGCAGTTCGCGGTTCATGTCAGTGAATGCCGGCGTTCCCCAGGGCTCCGTCATATCCCCCACTCTCTTTCTGCTGCATATCAATGACTTGATTCCTCTTGGGAATATTCATTGCTATGCAGACGATAGTACAGTGCATGCGGGGTATCTCGGACAAGCAGCGGCTGGGCAGGCAGTAACCAGGGAGAAACGGGAAAATCTTGTCATTGAACTCAATCAGGCTTTGGACCACATTTCCGAATGGGGTACCAGGAACTTGGTTGGGTTCAATGCCAAGAAAACTCAGGCTTGCGCTTTCACGGCAAAAACATCGCCATTCCTTCCCCTTCCATCTCTTCAGGGCACAACACTACCGCTACAGAGCAACATTTCCATGCTCGGTATGGAAGTTCGCTCAGACCTGAATCCAAAGGACTACATCGAAACCGTGATCAAAACAGCTTCACGCAAACTCGGAGTCCTGAACAAGGTGCGGCGTTTTTTCACGCCTGATCAACTGTGCTTGTTGTACAAAACGCAAGTGCGGTCCTGCGTGGAATATTGCTCGCACCTCTGGGATGGCTCCGCCAAGTACTTGCTCGATGCTTTGGATAGGTTACAGCGGCGCGCGATCCGCATCATAGGCGATGAGGAGGTGACTAAACACCTTGAGCCTCTTCAATTACGCCGTGACGTGGCGTCACTAAGTGCGTTCTATCGTTTGTACCACGGCGAGTGTTCTGAGGAGTTATTCTCTCTTATCCCACCTTCCCCTTTCCTTCAGAGGACCACGCGCGCTGGCCTACGTTGTCACCGTCTTACTGTGGCCACAATTCCAACGCGTACAAAGAAATTTGGTGACTCATTTCTTTGTCGCACTATCCGTAAATGGAATGCTCTGCCCGCTCACGTGTTCCCTCCCTCTTACAACCTGGGATCCTTTAAAAGAGGCGTGAAGAAGCAACATGCAGGCCGGCAGGGTGAGGATGGCTGGTGTGGCAGGTAGAACTGCTGTATCAGCTATCTTCGCGTCTGGACTTCACCTTCACTTAACATCAGGTGGGGTGGAGTCATTTGTCGGACCTAACTATAAAAAAAAAAAAAAAAAAAAAAACAACCAGACGGACACAAAGTAGTGGTCTATGTCCCATTAGGGTTGTCATCATTGCCTGATTCGTTCTACAATCCCTGTTACGTGTCCTATATGCTCACCAGCTAATGGTTCGCAGTCTGTTAGCATAACTTGGCATTGGGATGGTATTTGTGGATTCTTTGCGTCCTACTCGTGGAAGTAGCTCTGCTTTTCTTTCAATGGCCCTGATACATATGCCGATTGTGTAAGTGACATGGTATTTATAGGGATGGATCTAATTATTCCCAACCCTAACATAGCCCGCGATGGCCGCAGCCGCCCTTGGTTCAATAAGGTCAGTGTAGACCATGCTGCTCGTGCAACAGTCGGCATATAATAATTCATTGCATTAGGCTAAATTGTGTCAAGCTCAGACTTTAAATGAGAAAAAGAAAAAAAAATGTTAACGTTAATTTCAGTCTAAATAATTGGTGTGTTTAATGGCCTGCGCAAACAAGGGACTTTTGTCCGTGGAGGACAAGTCTCTGAATCGTGAAAAAATGTCAGCCGACGACTTGTCACATACTTAGGTACTCAGCGCACACGTTAAGCGAACATTTGCTGCCCGAAAATTTAGAGAAGCACACGTAGCAAGTTAATATTCTCATATTACGGTGTGTTTAACAGTTTGTGCAAATGATATGACGCTTTAAAAGAGAATACTGGCTCCACCTTTTTAAATCTGAGCGAGCGCGCAATGCGAACGCAATGCGAAAGTTCGATGTGGGCGTTACTGCGCATGACTTATATTTTTATTTTCGGGGACATCCCCGTTTTCTTATCCAGCTCGGTCTTTCGGTTATTTGTGGGACTTTTTGTACGTGGTACTTTTAATATATCGTGTGCGATACTCGATGCAATGGTAAGCGATCTATTTTGAGTCACAAAAAAGTCCGCAGACAAAAGGCCCTCGCCTACGCATTACACATAATGATAAACAGATTCACTTGTTTTCACACCACCAACGTAATGGTGAGGCAAACGCATTTATTGTGTTGTGAACTCAGTAGTTATTAGAAGACCAAGTTATTTTTCATTAAACTATCAGATGGCACAAGGCTCTTTCAATTATTTGAAAATAATAGTACTTACTTAGTTTATGCGACTGTCATACTTGTTACTTGTTTTGGGCCCCCGTTTTCGCACGTAGACTCTTAGATGGTCCATTGTGCGTGCAGCAACTCTGCACATTGGGATAGCTAGCACAGCAAGCCCAGCTCCTTTCAGAAGCGCAGTACTCTCCTGGGACTCTCACAGGCTTCTAGGAGCGTCGTCGGCGTCCTGAGGATGGATGCGCGGTGTTCTGCCATGCTCATGCATTCCAGGATCATATGAGCGGCCGTTTCATCTGCTTCTAGACATCCTCTGCACAGAGAACTATCTGTAACACGTATGGTTAGTAAATGCTTCTTTAGCAGGCAATGCCCTGTTATAGTGCCCAGCATTACTCGGAGATCAATTCGGTTAAGATTTAGCAGTTTTCTAGATAATCTTGGGTTGAGGCTAGGAAATATAATTTATACTCTTCCTTGTTTCACTGAATTCGCTCAAAGTTGTGGGTTGTATCATAAAAAAAATCTTAGCGGATGCCTACGTCATAACATCTACCTGCATGCCAAATTTCAGCCCGATCCGTCCAGTGGTTTGGGCTGTGCATTGATAGATCACTATGTCAGTCAGTCAGTCACCTTTGAGTTTTATATATATAGATAAATGAAAGGGTAATGTTTAGCAAAGCATTAAGTGCTGCACCTTGCGTTGAAGACATATAGCACCTATTGACATAAGGCAGGCTATTTTTTGCAAGCCATTCAGCTTTTTGATGACTGTCGTTTGAGTGGTTTTTTTCCACCACACTACGCAAGCGTATGTTAACATCGGCCTTACGATGGGGGTGTACATCCACAGGCTGTTTTTTTTGGGTTTAGACCCCATTTCGTCCCAGCCAGTATTTAACCTCCGTGTAAAATGGAACTGGAATTCCGTTTATGGGCTCTGTAAGTTGATCTAACTTTCGCTTGCTAGATAAAGGTGTTATTGTTGTTTTGTTATAATTTACCGATAGATTATTCTCTGCGCATCATTTAACAATGATGTTCAGAGATGCTTGCAGGATAGATGATACGGAAGTTTGACACAGATCAATGACGCAAGCCACGACATCGCCCGCATGTCTAACCCTATATCATAGGCTCTTGTTAGTAGGAACCTAGGTATTAAATGTAGGTCCCTAATCCTATTTTACTTGTTAAGTCTAAAAAATTTCACGCGAAGAATAATTAGGTTTTCATTCACTGTTATGTCTATGTTTATTTTTTGGCAATCCTAATTAGTTTTAAGAATGCCATTTTTGGTATAACCCATCAACGAAAATAATAAAACCAGTAAGGGTGTTTCTAAAATTAAAGATTAGGTATATCTTAAGAAAGATTCCTGTTTTAATACGAAAATATATTAGTAGGTGGGAAGGATAGAAGTTTTCTATAAAAATAATTATTTCGTCTGTCTTTTGTAAAATCTTTATTAAACATAGCTTTCTACGCATATAAACATCGATCAATATAAAAATAAAATACTGATAATAATTGAAAAGCCATATTAAATTCGTAACAACAGCAGCAGATAAGCTCTATGTGTCAGTAGTGTCTAGACTACACATATCAGAATAATCACAGTTATATATAGATTCGTAGAAATGTTTCTCCAAATCTGCCAATGGACAGAGTTCGTGGTCGCACATCGGCAGTTTGATAACTTTCTCTTGGTGGAGAACCAACACTTTATCTCCGTCTTCACATCTGGAAAAAGAATAAGAGACCATATAAAGAATTTTCTTCCGAGATTATACTAATATTATATACGTGAAATTTTATATGTTGGTTACTCAATCACGCAAAAACTACTCATCGGATTTAGATGACATTTGGTATGCATATAGTTTATGACCCTGAACCCTGATTGAGGCTAGAATACTTTTTATTCCGGGAAAAATGTCAGGTTAATCTGCATTTCTGATAAAACAAAAGTTAAGGGGGACAATTCCGGGCGACAGCTTGTAATAATAGGTAGTAGGTATATCTTTACCTATGAAATCGTCGTGTTAATGGAAAAACCAACTAAATGTCTAAATTACAGAAATGAGATATTTCATTTCAAAGATTTGACAAAGCAAAATCTCTTGTTAAATATCGTATTTGTAACATTTAATTCCAAAAACAAAGCTATATTCTGTCCTAATCATTATGTTTCTTCTTTATATCTACTATATAAAAATAAGTCGGGTTTTCCTTCCTGACGCTATAACTCCAGAACGCACAAACCGATTTCCACGGTTTTGCATTCGTTGGAAAGGTCTCGGGCTCCGTGAGGTTTATAGCAAAGAAAATTCAGGAAAAATTTAAAAAAAAAAACGTTTTCTTTTAATCACAAAACGAAATGTTACATAAAACGAAGCTATCTGGTGGCGAAACGGAGTTCGCTGGGTTTGCTAGTATTTATATATATATATAATTTTATGGAACACCATAATTTAAATTACAATTAGTTTAGAATGACCGCGTCCCGTTTACGTCTACTCAATTTTGTTTTTAGACAAGGACCGCTCTGTATTTTTTCTATGTCCATGGGATCAACGTGATCTTTGTATACAATTTGACAAAGACAGCGTCTTTGTTTCATCGCAATAAGAGCGACACTCTTAAAACCAATGTTGGCCTTGACTGGCCAGTTTAAAAGCCCTAACAGCTCAAGCTAAAGTGAGAAAAAACTAGACACCTTTATTGTTTTAAACTTTCAAGGTCACGGTCCCATCGTACGACGGGTTGCGTAGCATAAGTTTAAACAGATGTGTCAGAGAAACGGAGACAGCGAAACGGCATCGGTTTGATTAAGTATTAATTATTATTCTTATTGTTGTATTTTATCTTTCACTACATTAATCTATTCTTTAAAACACCTCTTAGATTTTCATACAGTCCACTTTCTTTCACCATTAAAACTTTTATTTGAAACTAACTCACTTGTACAGAACAAAAGCTAGATTGGATGCGAAGCAATCAATATCGCTGGTCCTCCACGTCCTATTCTTGTCTATGGCATCTGCAGTCAATGGTGCGCTCGGTTTATATAACTGTAAATGCGTGAGGATCTTCAATAAAGTGCCCGAATGAGCGAACAGGAAAGTAGCATGCGGGTAGTTCTTCTTTCTGAAATTATACAAGCAATGTAATAATACAAGAGCGACCCGTTTGAGGAACTGGCAAACGTGGTTGATTACGCAAACAACCACAACGCCGAGCTTCTTATCGGATGCGACGCAAACGCGCATCGCACCAATTGGGGCATCACAGGTATCAACGCAAGAGGTGAGCGATGACGTCATTTTATTCTTGTTAACCACCTTCAGCCAGTGTTGCTGGTGTAGCGCAGCAACACTGGCTCGATCTGGAGGCGTGCAGGCAAACAAAGCTCGCTTTGCCACGGGTGAATGCTGCCTTCTCGAAAACTTTCCTACAACTAAGCAAACCTACAATGCGCATGGTAACAGGTACTATTACCGAACATGCACATTTTAACAGACATCTTTTTAACTTAGGTGTCACGTTCTGCTGGAATGCAACGGAGTGGCCGAATACCGGGCGAAATACCTCGGCTCACCAGGAAACCTTCAAGAGGCAGTCACCAATGTAAAGACCCTAGGGGCGTTCCTGGCGGAGCTGGGCTGGTTGGAGTGATTCCGGCTATACACTCTCCTCACATGATCGTTGCAAGAAGAAGAAGAGAAGAAGAACCACCTTCAGATTGTTAAGACGGGACGTAAACCGACCTTCTTGACTAGATCAAGGCAAGAAGTTCTCGATGTTACCAACCACTTGCAATCTAGCCAGAACTTAACGACTGGCAGGTTAGCAATGAAACTTTTATGTCTAATCATTTACTTATTCAATTCGCGCTGAACACTTCAAACCTGTGTGAAACCATTACTTTTAGGAATGCTAAGGCCACAGACTGGCAAATGGGATAGGCTCAAAGATATTCCTAAAAGTGTTCGATCTGTTAAAACACTCGAATATGCATATCAAGTTACTAAAGCCATAACAGCCCCCTATGAAGTGAGCTGCCCTATGAAAACCAAGAGAACTAATAAAATACCATGGTAAAATTCCAAGCTGAGTGTATTAAGAGAGGAAACGCGTAGGCTGTTTTATTTAAGTCAAAACGACCAATGATTCGGGACGATACTTAAAGGCTCTAGCCACCTACAATAAAGAAATACGAAAGGCAAAGAGACTTTCATGGTGGAAGTTCTGCGAGATCACCAAGGTCCCTCAAGGAGCAACAATTCATAAAGTACTCGCTAAATCGCCTACAAATTAACTGAGACTTCTTAAGAAACCAGATGGAACGTTTACTGAAACAGCGGAGGAGACATTGGAGCTCTTAGCCTCAACACACTTCCCTGGATCAGTAATGGCATCTGAAGCCATCACAAGGGCTATTCCTTACTGGAAGACTGGACAAGAGCAGCAAGGGTAATCAGACCAAATATGGTTGAACGATATCATATATCAAGCAGTAATCTGACGAGCCCATGGGGGCTCTTACCACAACCTGATAGCCCTGTGGATGGGTCGTGAGCAGAAGGTCCAGTAAAGAAGGCGCTTGATTTGGAATACCTGGGATCCTGGTGCGCTGATCAACCAGCTGATTCAAGTCATGCGTGCGAGCGAATGTGTGAGCAGTAATCCCTGCATGGTCGGTTTTGGAGGAACTTAACCACATATTGTGGTGAGCATTAAAGTCCCCCAAAAACACCAATTCTGCTTTAGGTAATTGTTCCTGCGCGTCATCTGCTGCCCGACTAAGGTGCTGAAGAAGTCGAGTTGTCTCAACATCGCCGGTGTGGGATCTGTAGAGGCACACGTAGACTCTGGCCAGGGGACCAGAATCGAAGTGTCCCCCAGTATGGAGAAGGAGGGATCTTCCAAGCAGCGGAGGCGGCGACAACAAACATCCGGCTTTCGCTTTGAAGGACTCTTCAAGCACGTGGGCGGGATAGTTGAGGTAGCCTGTGTCAGTAGGCGGAAGTATTTGTGTCTCCGTCAGGAACTCAGTCAGGAAGGTCTCAAGATGGTGGTGGGCAGCGTTGAGGTTAGAGTGGAGTCCGCGTATGTTGCAGAACTCGACCTCAGCGTTGAAAGCGTGGGAGTGTGCACAGCGCGCTGTAGTTCAAACTTTGTTTTAGAGGCTGGATAAAAATTATTGATGTTTAAATACATCAACACTCTTGATTAAAGATAAAAATGTTATATAAATGCGTTTTCACTTACTTAAAATCTTCAAACATAGTTTTGATTGCCATACACGCTTGTCTATAAGTCAAATTATGCCCATAGCTATCCATCCAATAGTGTTTCAAATCATGGTAGTATTCCAGTACCTGTAATTTGTATATTATACAAATGTAATATTAATGATCTAAAATAAAATTTATTATTAATGATTTAAAATTTGGGTCACGGTTCCCATAAAAACTTCCACCCCCTTATCACCCCCAAAAAGGACGATTTCCAGGAATAAATTATATCATAGGATGTATGACTCAAACTATCTCTATTCCAAATTTCATCTAAATCCGTTCAGCGGTTTGAGCGAGAAGAGGTAACAGTCAGACTGATACACTTTCGCATTTATAATGTTGGTATGGATTTCTTCATCATCCATCATCAGCATATGAATAAACCCACGGCCTTTCCTATTAAATGGAATAGGAATATTGGGCTATGATGACCCATCACGCAGGCCAATTGCAGATTGGTGAGTTTTAACGACTGCAAGTGCAGCCAGGGTTAACGGCTTAAAATGCCTTCAAAAACACATTAAGTACCCATCCTATAGCCAGCCATTGCAAGTTGCTTAACTGCCACGATCTCAAACCGAACATGCTAGCTACAGCGCTATTAAGCTGCTTTATGATCGGCTGAATAACTCATTTCAGTTTTAGGTAGTAAACAGATTTACAATAAAGATACGGATATTAGTAATAGCACAGTGCAAATTATGAAACTATGGAAACATTAATAAGCTGATGATAATGATTCAGTTTTTTTACATTTTAGACCAAATATTTGGCAGAACATTCGTCACAACACTATTCTTGTGTCGCGGTGTTTGTGGTTAAACTCCTCCAAAACGGCTTTCTCGATTCTCATGAAATTTTGTGTGCATATTGGGTAGGTCTGGGAATCGGACATCTATTTTTCATCCCCCTAAATGTTAAATACAAATACAATTTCTTTATTTCCATACCTTACTATTACATTATATATAAGTATTAAATATGAATCGGAAAAAGGAGTAGGCACAGCGCAGCTGGTTTTAAGCCTACCCATCGTCAAATTTTGTGGTTAGTTATACAATTTAATTCAATTATAAATAGCCAATTACATGTCAAATATATTAATTACAATGTCAATTCATTTAGATGTCATTCAAAGCTTACTCAATTCAATGTCACGTTATATTTAAAATGTCATATTTTTTCACTAGTCAATTACAATTTATGTTATTCTTACACACAGTAAATGTTAAATATATCAATTACAATGTCATTTTTTTTTTACTTGTCACTTAATTACCATTATATAATTCTTACACACAATAAATAATAATATATAATCCAGGTAAATTAATTAATTTAGTACATCTACAATTAATGACTCACATTACTGACCAATAGTTTGCGAATTTAGCGTATTTAACTTTGCTCTCATAGGGACAGACAATATTTTCAAATTGCTTTTGAATATTCAGCAGATACTTCTTTAATTTAGACTTGAATGAACCATGTGATTTGATCAGTCTTAGGGGTGGCGGTATATCGTTCCAGCATTTACTGGCCGCAAATCGAAAAGATCCTCTAAAGGTAGCAGTTTTATGTATATATGGTACAATAAGTTGCAACGCGTGGACGGCACGATGCCGCCCCGCCGCCGGCGCAACCAACAATAACTTAGACGCGAGACATGGTGGGGTTCGCTTACGTACGAGCCGGTGCGTCAGACAGGCGAGGTGCAGATGACGCCTCGCATCCATGTTGAGGGATTCCATTCTGTTAAGAACAGGAGTAATACGTTTATATTTCCCTACTTGTTCCGAAAACCTAATACACGCATTTTGTAGTCCTTGTATACGTTTACTTAATTTTTTAGTAATACAAGGGCCGTATACAGTATCAGAATAGTTAGGTTTCGATAATATTAATGATTCTGTAACTGAGCGCCGTGCTTCCAGACACAGATAATCACCCACTTTATAAAAAGATTTTAATTTATACATCGCGGTTTTTACCATCATACTAATGTGCTGGTCAAAACTTAGAGTTGAGTCAATATGTAAACCGAGATTACGAGCACATTCTACAATTTGCAATTTGGTATCGTTTAATTTAAGTACGGGATGGTGTGCCAAAATACGGTTCCGTAAGTTTTTTGATCCAAATAACATAACCGTGGTTTTGTCGGGGTTGAGACAGAGTGCATTGTCTCTTGTCCATTCCCATATTCTATTAAGGTCATTTTTAACAGCATTTACCGCTTCACTCAGCTGGTCCAGGTTGAAAGAATATATTAGCTGCGTATCATCGGCAAACATCTCAAGTGTGCGTGCCGCACGCAACGCGGCAGGTCCGCCGTGTAAACGGAGTACAGCAATGGAGATATACATGTACCCTGTGGACAGCCTCGTGTCAGCACTCTGGCCTCAGATAATTCCGCCATACCATCAGTATTTTTGCACTTAACTATTTGTTTTCGATTATCAAGATAACTTTTCATCAACTGCAAGGCAGTATCATCAAGGCCATAGAATTTAAGTTTTGATAATAATAACTTTATATCGATGCAATCAAAAGCGCGGGAAAAATCAAGTAGCACGAGAATGGATGCACAACCATTATTTGTAGCATTTAGGATTTCATCTACTATTTTAGTGAGGGTCGTTACAGTACCACGACCAACTCTGAACCCGGATTGATTCTCTGGTATTAGCCCCATTTGATTAAAATATTTTGTGAGCTGCTCATTAATTATTTTTTCCAAAAGTTTTGAGAAAGCTGGTAATATGCTTATAGGACGCAAGTCTTTATAGTCAAAAACTTGCACTTTTTTCGGAATAGGTGTGACTAGAGCAGTTTTCCATTTTTCTTGAATATACCCTGTCAATAAACAGCTGTTTATAATGTGTAGCAGTACTGGAATAGTACGTGGAAGTGTACGTTTTATCATGTAAATTGAGATATCATCTATTCCTTCAGCATTTGATTTAATTTTCTTTAATATTCTAACAAGGTCATTTTCATCAATTAGTTTAAAAGAAAACTTTTCAGAAAGAGGATTATATATTTGTGTATTATAGTAAGTAAATAATTCTAATGGAACCGGTGAAGTACTTGGTAAAGTAAAAAATTATCGTTAATTTTATTTGGTATATTTAGATTTTGTGGAATAATTACATCGCTATCCTGATTAGTTACGCACCTACGTATTCCAGCCCACATACTTTTTGGATTATCGATTTGAGAGTTTATAGAGCGACCAAATGATACTTTTTTTTCGTTGCGTACCATAGATGTGACGTGATTGCGTAGCTGCCTGTAGTACTGGTGCGGTGCGGAACCCAGCGGAGCCGAGGCCGCGCGCACCCCAGCTCGTTCGCGTAAACCCATGGCAATGCGCACAACATTCGTTAACCAAGGCCTTGGCTGCGCTTTGCAGCGTCGCGTAACCACCGGCGCATGAAAATCCCATAACTGTAATAGCATACATTCGAAATACTGTAATTTTAAATCAATATTTTCGAGGTATATCATATTTTCCCATGGTATACTTTCAAGATGCATGTCGAATGCATCATTATTAATCGAATTGATTTTTCGATATATTTTAAGTTGCGGTTTTGGTCGAATAATAGGGATATTGAATGTAGATATAACCAGACCATGATCACTGATACCTAGGTTATGTCGTACGTAAACACTTTTACAAATATCATAAGCGTTCGTAAGGATTATATCGAGAATTTTTTTAGTCGATTGTGTTATACGTGTAGGTTTATTCACTATCTGACGCAGTCCAAATTGGTTACAAAAATCAGTTAACTTACCTGTATTCTTGATCATATCCACATTAAAATCACTTAATATAAACACATAGTCCACTGTAGGCAGCAGATAAATATTCTAACGAGTTCGTAATTGAAACATCAGGCGGCCGGTAAACCGACCCAATAATAAAGGTACGTTTGTTTAATGTTAGGTGAATCCACATATACTCGAAGCGGGGCCGGGAAGTCGGCGCAAGCGCGGGGTTCGCACTGGGCGCAGATAGCACGCGTGTTGTGAGGCCCGTGCGCACATAGAAGCCTACTCCTCCGCCCCGCCTCTTCTCCCGTGCTTGATGAATAAGTTTATAGCCGGGAATTTTGTACTCAACTAAAACACTATTAGCGTTTAGCCATGTTTCATTCAACGCTACCAAGTCAAAACTTTCACTCAGTATTGTATTACAAAGATTATCAAATTCTGTCCCTAAGCTACGTACATTATATAGTCCAAGCTTTAGTTTAGACTTCCTACCCATAAGAACAAGGCAATATAACTGCTATATAACTTGCACATTGCAAGTTGTTATCAACTTTGGTAATAATAATGTGAGTCATCAATTGTTTACAATAGGCTACAAGTTTGTGATGCATTAAAATGACATTTGTAATATTAAGTAATATGTAACAATCCAATAATTTATTAATATAAGAAGCAATTGCGTTATTAACTAATTGACAAGGTCGTATTTTGCAACAAGTTTTAAAAAATCATTTTTATTTCTTACAGTAAGGGTTGACGACTTTTCATTTTTCTTTATAAGTATTTTCCCATCTTGCACCCAAACAAACAAAAACTTAAGTTTATTTTTGAAATATTCTTTAGCTTTTGATAAAATATTTCGTTTAGTGCCTGATAAATGTTCATTAATGTAGACAGGCATAGATGTACCTGGTAGGTTGAGGACGGCCGTAGACAGCAACGACTTCTTATCATCTTTTTTCTTGATTGCTTTAGAAAAAGGTGTCGCTTGTACTTATGCACAAAACGAACGATAATGCGGTTTTGAGTTTTTGCGTAAGCGTTAGTAGTATTTATAGTCTTTATACGGTAACAATGGGATATATCATTACGATTTATGGTAACGTCAACTTTCTGACCCAGTTTTTGCACATGTTCGTACAAGTCTTCATTTTCAGTGATAGGCGCTCCTTGTATTTCTATAGAACTGTCACGGCTATGCCCCTCATACAAATCGATACGATCTTCCAGTTCTACAATACGGCGCCTATCATGCTCGCAATCCCGTTTCAGGTCTTCGATGCGCTTGTGTAGTTGGCTTACCGTCGTAATACCTCTGCGTTACTTTTCACTAGGCTCTGTACAGCTGCATGTAGGGATGTTATATTATTTTCATCAAGTGATTTGATGGGCGTGGAGGCTGGTTCCATCGACAGAGATCGCGAAGAACTAGTGCTTGCATTTAAAATGGATTCATTTACTACACAACTAGGGCAAGACCAGGCGAAGGATCCTTTCTTCAAAATTTGTATTTGCACTTCACCAAGCCCGAAGCACTTGAAATGGTAACTCTTCTTGCAATTTTGGGCATCACAAGATCGGCCGGAAGACTTCGTTACTGATGTTGCATTACAAACAACACATTGTTTGTTCGCCATATCAACCCAATTGGCTTACCTCAAATGTGTGCTTTTCTATTTCTGTTAGCCGTCGTAATACCTCTGCGTTACTTTTCACTAGGCTCTGTACAACTGCATGTAGGGATGTTATATTATTTTCATCAAGTGATTTGATGGGCGTGGAGGCTGGTTCCATCGACAGAGATCACGAAGAACTAGTGCTTGCATTTAAAATGGATTAATTTACTACACAACTAGGGCAAGACCAGGCGAAGGATCATTTCTTCAAATTTTGTATTTGCACTTCACCAAGCCCCAAGCACTTGAAATGGTAACTCTTCTTGCAATTTTGGGCATCACAAGATCGGCCGGAAGACTTCGTTACTGATTTTGCATTACAAACAACACATTGTTTATTCGCCATATCAACCCAATAAGTAACGGTCACTGGGTTACAATTTAATCTTCTTATTTAAGCACTTAACAGTAGTTGTTTTTTGATGACAACAAAATATAACTTATATTCATACACGAACTTTACACTTTGAATGAATAAGTATTGAAAAAACTACTTTTTTGTATTTAAAATCTGTGATTATTTGAGAGCTCAAGTTCACTATGCGATGTCAAACTACCCACACGATGTTAAGGGTAATCTAACCCTAATTTTTTTTTTCAATTTTAGATATTTTTTTTTATATTTTTTTATGATACAGCATTAGTAAATACATATAACCCTGAATTTTCAACCCTTCTACCACCAACCCCTATTTTTTATGACGGTACGAAGTTCGCTGGGTCAGCTTGTATATTGTATATATATTAGTATTATATTAGTATGTATGATGTATTCCTTGTTTTTTTTTATGTTATAGGAGGCATACGAGCAGACGGCTCACCTGATGGTAAGTGATCACCGTCGCCCATGGACACTTGCAACACCAGGAGTATCACAAATGCGATGCCGGCCTTTAAGGAAGGAGTACGCTCTTTTTTTGAAGGTTTTTGGGTCGTATTGGTCCGGAAACACTGCTGGCACAATATATTCCACAGTTTTGTCGTACGTGGTAAAAAATTTCGACAAAAACGCACGGTTGTGGATAACCACGCATCAAGATGATGGGGATGAATTTTTTGTCGCGATGTACGATGGCGAAATGCAGCAGCTGGAATTAATCCGAACAATTCCTCAGAACACTCTCCGTCATAAATGCGATAGAAGATGCAGAGCGAAGCTATATCCCTACGCAAAGCCAAAGGATCAAGCTGATCGGAAAGGTCCTGGGGCCCAATTCTCGCGGCATAGATATTATATCACCTTCGATATATCTCGAATGATCTGGCTTTTATCGAAGGGAAACCTTTTTGCCCTATTCTCACCATGTCGCAATAGATATTTATCTACGGATGATCAGTAGACATACATCGACTGGTGAAGAGCCTTCGATATATAAATATCTATGGATCTTGGCATGTCAATCTTGTTATTTCCACTTTTTTTACCTATTATTTATTGTGTTGTCGTGTGTCATTGCCAATTATTGTTACCTCAAGACGTTGTTACCTGCCTTCATAAATAATTAGTAAATAAAGAAGTAGGTAAACAATGGTGTCGATTCTGGCGTGATTCTCTAAACTTAAAACTAAATTTCACATCAGTCTCTCTTTTTCATTCTGTATAGAGAATGACAAGGAAACACTGTTGTCAAGTTTAAGTTTAGATTTAGAAAATTGTGTCAGAATCGACACCAGTTTATATTAACGATGGATGAGTTGATTCATGTTTTCGTCAATGATTTAATAAATGACGTGATTGCTGCTGCTGTGCTAAGGCGCCGCCGTTGTGAGTGCAAGAGGGCCCATTCGAAATGAGGGACGCCGACTTCATAAAAAAAAAATACGTTTAAATAAAAATTTGGTTAGAAATCTATAAAGTTATGAATGACATTGGTATCGATTCTGACACGATTCTCTAAACTTAAAGCTAAATTTAACATCAGTCTCTCCTTTTCATTCTGTATGGAGAATGACAAGGATACACTGTTGTCAAATTTACGTTTAGGTTTAGAGAAGCCAGAATCGACACCATTTTCTTATTGACGATACGGAGTTTTTGGCGGGATTTCTGCGAGTGCGGTTGGCGTCTTATTTTAATTATTCTAAAATTCGTTCATGTTACAACCGTCTGCGCAACTGAAGAATTAGTGGAATCTTTAAAATATACGCTATTCCGGTCAAGTGGACGTGAGAACTTTATTGTAGTGTCGACTACCTTACAGAAGCTTATCGAAAAAGCCAACTCCATAAATTTCGTGCCAAACACTCCAAGAAACATTAGAATGTGTTACACCGACATTCTAATGTAAAAAAAAGAAGATTAATATAACTAAAGACTAGGTTGTATGGGCATTGTTTCCTTTGCCTTCCTTGAAAAGGGAGAATCTTAAATAATATTGACGTTTCATTATACATAACGTTGAAATTATATACGCATACAATTTAGGTAAAGTTGAGATTTCTTATACTCAAAAATGTATACTCATATTTAATATGAATGGAATTCATAAGATATAAAATATCATTTTGTTGATTGTAAAATTCTGCTCTAATTTATTATTATTTTATATAGACTATGATGTTAACTTAATCGAAAAAACGGAACGCATTCGGCAGTGAAAGAATATCTACGATAGATATAAATATCATTGGAATATCGAAAATCCACGAGAATAGCATTTTTTACCATCAGTAGATATTTTCAATAGATATTCCTACTTTCGATATTATCTCGAAGCCGATATAATATCTACACCGCGAGAATTGGGCCCCAGGTCGTCGACGATTCGAGCCGCTCAGCGCTGGATGCGATCTAAAGGAAGAAGCTGGTACTGGGGTGCCCCCGCCCAAAGATGAGAGCAGTACTCCATGTGAGGCCGAACCTGTGCCTTATAAAGTTGCAGTCGGTGGGCCGGTGTGAAGTACATTCTCGATCTATTGAGCACACCAAGCTTCTTAGAGGCCAATTTGGCCTTGCCCTCTAAATGATCCCGAAACTGCACGTCGCTCGATATGTCAACGCCAAGAATTCCAATACTAGCTGAGGCAGTTAGAGGAGTGTTCTCAAAGAGAGGAGATACGACAAATGGTATTTTTTTGCGGTGAACGCGCATACTTGTGTCTTCGTAGGGTTAAATTGGACTAGATTAAAATCGGCCCCAATTCGTTACTTGGTTTAACAAAGTTTCGACTTCAGACACAAGTTTGTTCCGGCACTCGATGACGTTTTCCCGTGAAATGTTGGCGCGGCCGGTATATAGGGCATCACCCGTGCTGTCGTCTGCATAACAATGAATGCCATCAATTTGAAGCATATCATTGATATGAAGAAGAAACAGCGCAGGCGATAGCACACAGCCTTGCGGAACACCAGCGTTTACTGATTTGGAGTCCGAGCATGCACCGTCGACCGCGACTTTGATGCTCCTGTCCGCAAGAAAGCTAGTGAGCCAAACGCACAGCTTTTCAGGAAGCCCATAAGAAGGAAGCTTCGAAAGAAGCGCTTTGTGCCAAACCCGATCGAAGGCCTTCGCGATATCCAGACCGACCGCCAATGCTTCCCCCTTGGTCTCGATCGCCTTTGCCCAACGATGAGTCAGGTATACTAGTAGATCACCAGCCGAGCGACTCTGACTGAAACCGTACTGGTGGTCACTGATCAGCTGGTGGTCCTCTAGGTACCGCAGGAGCTGACAATTTATAATAGACTCCATTATCTTGGAGAACAGAGGTGATGGCTATAGGCCTATAATTAGTAGGGAGTGAGCGGTCGCCTTTTTTAGGAATCGGGTGCACTAAAGCTGTCTTCCATGAGTTCCGAACGACACCTAAAGAGTTGGAGAGCCAGAAAAGACGCGTTAGTACCGGAGCCAACTCAGGAGCACACGTCTTCAGCACAATTGGTGAGATTCCATCAGGCCCGCTCGACTTGTGGATGACAAGGGAAAAGAGTGCTTTACGCACTAAGCTTTGTGTGAACCGGATGTCCGGCATAGAGCTCTCACACCGCGGGATGGTCGGCGGTACATACCGCCGGCCGAGGGGATACATATCCCCTGTCATTTAGAGTCGAGTTAAACGCAAAGAGTGAGCATAAAAGATCCGCTTACTCTTTTGCAGTATGGGGTAGAAGGGATGGCTTACAAAAATTTCCTTCAACAGCCTTGGCAAGAGACCAAAACGCGCGGGTTCCAGAGGGCAGTTTTATTAATCTCTCGCCAATGCTGCTAATGTGCTCCGACTTCGCTCTGGCAATTACTCTTTTGCAGGACCTGGAGGCCAAGTTATACTTCTTTTTGAGATCGTGACCAGTTACCACCAAGGCGACCATAGGCCAAGGCGAAGTCGTGAGCAGATCTGCCTGCATGATCGGTAGTGGGCGATCCAAGCCATTCGGAGTGGTGGACATTGAAATCACCAAGGATCACAATTTCAGATGATGGGATCTGCTGAAGCACGGAGTCAGTAGCCACCTGGACGTGATCATAGAGTCGGTCAATTTCGGCATTTCCGCTATGGGACCTGTAGAGGCAGGCGTAGACGCGGGGATGGTAATCGACGTCTACATGCAACCATAAGATAGAGAGGTCCCTACCTTCAAAGTTGCTGAGGCGACGAAAACTGATACCCTCTTTAACGTACACACATACCCCAGCCCGTGGTACAAAGGAATGTTCCAAAGTATACCCAGGGTACTGGAAGTAGGAGGTGTCGGCAGGAGAGGATATCTGCGTCTCAGTCAAAAAAAGCAAGGCCGGCTGCACTGTCTGAAGGTGGTAGTGAACAGCATTAAGGTTGGAGTGTAAGCCCCTGATGTTGCAGAAATCCACGTTAAACATGGCAGGGGGTGTCGTATGACGCTTGCTCTGGCCTCGGGCAGTAATGAGCGCGGTTTCGCCCTCCCCAGAATACGAAGGGCAGCCTCGACATCCACGTCCAGAAGGAGACATGGACGTCCAGAGGGGGATTCTCCAGCGTGAAAACAGCTGGTACCCCCCTGGGGTATTATCCTATTTAACTGCACCATCATGAGGAAAGGAGGGGGGGGGGCTCCGGTAGCCTCACTCACTCGGCGAAACACAGCACAAATTACTGCTTCACGCCGGTATTCTGTGAGGTCGTGGTATTCCTCCGGTCGAGCCGGCCCATTCATGCAGTAGCCTCAGCTACTGCGTGGCTCTCCCACGCTAAAATGTTGTGTTTATAGGAATAGGGTATTGTGAATATAAAAACCTTTTTCTAGAAGAGGTTTATCTTATATATAAAATTCTCATGTCACAATGTTAGTTACCAAACTCCTCCGAATCGGTCTGACTGATTTTTATGAAATTTTATATGCGTATTCCGTGGGTCTGAGAATCGGCTACTATCTATTTTTCATATCAAGGTTGTCCACCTGTAACGTAGTGTTCTGAAACCTACAATGCGCCTTCGCGCCAAAATTCAAACTATTCGGTATTGTAACGTAGTGTTCTCATATGGGTTAGGAGGAATGTTAAACCAGGAAATTGATAGAACACTATTGTTACACACCCCTAAAATTTTTTTGGACAATATTTATATTTTTGTAATTAAAAATACATACAACCCTAAATTTTCTCTTCTACCACCTGCTCCTATTTTTATGGCGGTACGAAGTTCGCTGGGTCTGCTAATATTATTACTTATACAAAGAGATATATAGATAGGTTTTGTTGTTGTTTTTTGGCAATGTTAAGTGTTTTATCTGTTTTATGTCCTGTAAGTTGTATGTCAATAAAAGTATTAGTATAATTTATAATACCTCTGCAGTCTCTTTGTCGAATCCATGACACCATGGAGAAATATAGTGCTTAAGCCAAGATGTTTCATACCCACAAGTTACATACATCAAGTTCACCTTATCTGGAAGTAAGAAATAAGTGGATTTTAACATTATTATTAAAAGTGTTTTTTAAGATAGTTGTCCACTTTGAAAAGATAAATAAGCGAGTCAAAGCATACTTGCAGAAAAAGAATACTACGGTTTTAAAAACAGTTGTATCAAATAGCAAAGCAAGCTTGTTGATTGTGAACAAATTGACTTAAATTTACAAACCTAAACTTAGTACTTTGTCAAAGCCTAATTTTCGGCTTACAATTTCCAATGTATCATTCATTGTGCGACTATCGCCAAACAACTTTTGCTCCTTGTATGTATTAGGGTTTTTCTTAACTTGCTTTTGCCACTTGTCACAGTGTTTGTAAAACTGAAATAAGCAACTTAGTACGAAAGGAAAAGCGCCACTTAAAAATCAACTGTTCAAAGAATTTAGACCTATTTTATTTAGTTATTATATCAAAAGAGAATGGTTTAACAAAAAAATAAATTTATTCCTTTGAGGAGGTTGTCCATTAATCAAGTGATTTTTTTATGTTTTATCTTGTTGAGCGCCTTTTTAACTATAATATAACATTTATAATACCTTTAAAGCTTTTTGTTTTTTTAATAAGATTATGTTATTTATTAACTTACATTAATTTATTATTATAACACTTACTCTCAAAATGGGATCAACTTTGTTTGCAGGTGAAAATATTACTGTTTGTGCATTTTTCTTTTCAAACAAACCGATTGTGAAGTATCTTGCACTTTGTTGAGCTCTTTGAGTAGCAGTGTATTTGAACTGGAATATTATAAATTAAAGATATAATTTTTAATAATGACAATCCTGATTGCAATATGCATGTTTAAAAATAGTAGCATTCAGATAAGAACATACAAAATAATTATATCACAGTTTTTACTGTTCACTTACGTAAAATGTATTATTGTCGTACTTTGATTTGATAGCATTGGGAAACCTTTTCTGCATCCTTTCTGCAAGCAATATCATCTCGTCTTGCCCTTCGTGTGTCAGGTACTTCTCTTCTTCAACAACTATGTTACTTGACCATTTGTCAAATCGTTTTAGTTGCTCTGAATTCAACTCACCTGAAATCAGTTGTAAGGCATTTAGGTAAAGCTGGCAGTTGCTGTTCAAAGAAGTGCAGCGAAGGGTGTGGAGACTAAAGAGGTGGTAAAATGCAACCAGTGCCTTAAAAGAGGACCGCTCGGATCCGGCCAGCTTTCAGCCAATTTAATGAATCTTTATTTATCAAAGCTTTCAGCCAATAGCAGTCACGTCAGTATCAAGTAGTTCTAAAAAGGGTCTTTATAACCATCTGGCCTGTTACTTAGCGAAACACTTTTTAATTAGCAATTTTCGATAGGGCTTAAAGCGAAACAATAGTAGGGTGCTCTTCTTGAGTATGTGACTCACATTTGGGTGAGGTACTAATTGACAAGAGGTTCAAGCTTTTATGTCCTGTTTTTGCTGATCATTGGTTATCAGCCTTGACAGGGCACAAAATCTTTAACAAAACCTTCTTAGTTCTATTCTTGCCTTAGGTCACTGGACTGTTTGCTTTTACCAGAGATTGGATGGAGTCTAGTCGCCTAAAGTATGCCATTATACTGTCTGTCCTCTATTTTACTGCTTAAGGATCTTTCAATTCTGCTCATGACTGCATACTCATAATATTTATTTTATGAATGTGTGGATTTATGTGGCTAAATCCACTGTGACACTGCAGCTGTGGTGCTGATATTCTTAGTGCAGTCATTGAAGCGAAAAATACGGCCTTACCTTTTTTTATGTTACTTTTATTTTTTACTGTAAACCAATTTGCATGAAATTTTGGAATTAGGCTCATCTTACCCTTAACTTCAAAAGTGAAAATGATCTGAACTCCGCCTTTTAAGGGGTGTAAACAACCCCTTAATGGAAAAATTTACATTGAGCCATTTTATCGCTAGAAAACATGTCTAATAGTAAGTGGTGAAATTGTAAAGTATTTTCTAACATAATTACCTCATATTAAAATCATTTTCAATCCCTAAATTGAAAAAATCACAAAAAAATACTTTGGTATGACATAAAAAGATGTAAGTATAGAGTAAGTAATATTTTATATTCTCTATAATAATTATCAAATTTTTAACCCCCTTTCAATCCTTGAAAACTACCCCTTGATAAAAAATTGGTAAATTTTTTTTTTGATAAAATGTAAAGGATATGATTTTATTTATTTTTTAAGCATTTAACTGCTAGATGTTTAAATCTAAAGATTAAGGATTTAAATATTATTCCACACTCTCGAAAATGATTATCATATTCTTAAGCTTTTCTACCCTTAAAACTACCCCTAAATTAAAACAGTATACAGTATTATATTAAACATTCCTTTGCAGACGGAAATATACTGGTCACATTATAACAAATAAACGGAGCACGCACAGCTGATCACATGGCTTTTTCGTTGGCCCCTTCACTCAAATGTGTTATATATACATAAAGAACGTTGGTATGTATTCATGCCTACGTTTCCAAAATATATGAGTCATATTATGTATATATATACACATTACAAGAGTTGTGGGTCTCTATTATACTGCGTACTTTCATATTGCTCCAAATATTCACACTCATTTATTTTCAATTACTAAGTAGAAAAAAATATGATAAGTTTTTGGACCATAACTCCTTCAATTTTCATGCTATCACAATTTATAAAAAACCATTGTAAAGGTAATTAAGAGAGCTACAACATCCTTCATTGCAATATATAGTACAAAACCTTTTTCTAAAACGGTGAAGGGTTAAAGGGCTTAAGAGAGGCTGTGATTGCGCTGCCACGCACTCTTTAAACAATCATATCTCCATCAATTTTTGTTTGACAGATAAAACAAAAAAACCAAATTGTTTGCCAGAAAAATACCAAAATTTTTAATCCGTACACTTTTATACGTATCTGTCGTCATTTTTGAGATATTACGAAAAAAATGTGGGTTTTTTACAAATTTGAAATTGTGATTTTCTTTTTAATCGTGACTTTTTTGAAAAATATGTGTCCTGAAGCAGCCAAACTGATACTATCTATCAAACTCATATAAAGTTAATTCTAGGCGGAAAATTAATCGTAAATTTTAATTTTGGTGGAAATGGCACTTATGAAACCCATTGATTTAAAAGAAAAAACATTAGATGCTCCCCTTATTTGCAATACAGCTCACTATTTTAAGTGCGAAAGACTTTTAATAGTGCTCATTTTAAAGCTTATTTCAAGCACTACAAAACCCTTTTGTATTAGAATGCATAAAATGCATCTGCTCGCCGCTAGATGGCATTGACCACATCGATTAAGTTTCAGACAAAATAAAAAACAGCTTTGATCTTTAATATCTAGCTTAATATTGCATTTAGAATACTTTATAAAAAACCAAATTGTTCATTGTTTTACCTGCTACAATTTTGTTCTTTATAAAATTTTCGATAAAATGTATATTTTTGGAGATATTTGCAAAAAACCGATGAAAAACATGAAAAAATTGCGAATTTTCAATTGCCAATAACTTGAAAAGTATTGGATTTTTTGAAAAACTTTATAGATGATTTTTTGCTTAAAATTAGGCCTTCTACCGATATCCGAGGTTGTTTTAAAAAAAAACCACCCCTGAGAAGGAGTGGCAACCACCCCCAGGGTGGTTGCGGAGTTCAAATCATTTTCACTTTTAAAGTTAAGGGTAAGATGAACCTAATTCCAAAATTGTATGCAATTCGGTTCACAGTTAAAAAAAATTCAGAGCAATAATGCTTCAATGACTGCACTATCTGGCTGGGTCTTATAAATGACATTAAAGGTACATTACAAAATGAAATTTTCAGCTTGCTATCTTTCTAGAGAAATCATATTATGACTATAACAAACTAATGTTTTTAGTTATATTGATGAGCCCTGTGCATTGGAAATAAATAACATTTTAGTTTAGTTAAGTTAACATTTTAGCAAAGTGTGTAAGAGAGACTCCATCATTGCTTTAAGAAATTAGAATTATTTTATTTGCCTGTTTTTTGGTAGAAACATTTATAGTTTGTGCATCAAAATTAAATATAATTGGTACCTTGGCCCTTCTTGTGACTGAGTAAAATCTCATGTTTCATATCTCTAAGAGTATTTATTCCAACAATATCTTCAGCACTAGGAAGTCTTGTGCCATGTCGAATAATCATCCATATTCTAACATCTTTACAGCCTGTAAAACAAGGTCATAGTCACAAATTTTCAACAATAAAACAGTAATCGCTAAAAAGTGCTAGTTACCTGGAAATATGATACGTGAATCGTCTTTATTATATTTAAAACGGTAGGGAGTACGGGTCCCAAGATGATTGCGAACATCATTAAAACTAAAAGCTGTAATCTCAGGCACTTGGTAAAATGTAGCCACAATAATACTTATGAAGTGAAAATTCATGATTTGAATTATCATATAATAAGTGCTACATATTATTGTTTCTAATGTATTAATTATATAACAACTTAAGGCTACTCTACTTTATGAAACTTTTAAAAATTCTGCCATAAAAAATACAAAATACACGCAAACACATTTGGTCTGAGGCAAACACAAACAAAATTAGTTTTTTTTATAATGCCGGCACTTACTTGGCTGTTCGTGTTTTCAATTTATGAACGTGACAACCAGGTGCGCAGCCTGAAATTTTGGAGGGGGTCACTCACTACACTAATTAAAAATAGGTATCTGGAATAAAATAAACATTATTCATTTAATAGAGATGAAAATTTTTGAAGAATGTAATTTTTTGGAGCACCTCAAATACATGGACGAAATAATCGTCGAAATGAACGGCGTTTTGCAGATTTAAAAAAAAATTAGAGTGATAGAGCACTCTTCACTTTAACGATCCCAGTTGAGAGTGTGAAGTTGATTATCCACTGGAACTGTGTGATCTGCAATCAGACCCCTTTTACAAGGGCAGAACTGAAACAGGACTTGATTTTTTTAAGCTCCTCCAATATTGAGGTTGATGTAAAAGACAAATTAATGAAAAAGTAGATAATAAATAACGGTATTATTATTACCAATATTTTATTTTTATAAATATTTTGCGGCCCACCAATGTATTTAATCATTTTGATTGGCCCTGGGTCCCATCTAGTTTGGACACCCCTGACTTATAGGAAGCAGATTAAAGCCTAGTTGTTCATTAATTTCTAAGGGTACGGCCACAGTGCACGCAGGTTCAGAATCAGATTCAGACTCAGAAAACAAGCGCGAGAAACAAACAGTGTAGTTTAAGCAGGTTACCTGCTGCCACTATGTCCACCCTGCTTATAGTACAATGTTTATTTCTCGCGCTTGTTTTCTGAGTGTAAATCCGATTCTGAACCCAAACCCAGGCGCGGTCCGAAGCAGTGGCGGCGCTAGGCGTCGGCGACGTATAATGACTTTTATTATTTTCGAACACGTGCGTGATGGAAGCGAGTAGTACTTTACGGGTATTCAGAATCGTCTGTCTGGCAACACTATTTTTGTAATTAACTTTCTATGTTTGTTTTTATTTCTTGTCATCATTTGATTATCAACAATAAAACTCCTTTACTCATACGTTATTTTATAATTAGACTCACTTAATTTAACGGTTTTTTACTGCGAATTAAAATAGGCCTCGCGGATGTCGCCGACGTCCACATGTGGTCTAGCGCCGCCACTGGTCCGAAGGGGGGGGGGGGTCACAAGGGACATCCCCCCCCCCAATTTAAGGTCAAATTGAAAAATCTTGTGTCAAAAAGTGTCTTGTGGAATAATGTTTATTTTATTCCAGATACCTATTTTTTATTAGTGTAGTGAGTGACCTCCTCCAAAATTTCAGGCTGCGACCGCACCTGTCTGAACCTGCCTGCATGGCCACCCTGAGGGTACGGCCAGAGTGCACTCAGATTCAGATTCCGAAAACAAGCGCGAGAAATAAACAGTGTAGTCTAAGCTGGTTGCCTGCTTTTTCTCGCGTTTTGTTTTCTGAGTCTGAATCTGAATCTGAATCAGGAGTGCACTCTGGCCGTACCCTTCGACTACACTGTTTATTTCTCGCGCTTGTTTTCGGAATCTGAATCTGAATCTGAGTGCACTCTGGCCGCACCCTAAGGGCGGTGCCAGCGCTGACCAGCGCGTGTCGGCGCTTATAATGCGATTCAAATAAGAATAGGAAAGCCAATGACCTCCATCTGTCAAATGTAGCTTGTAAAGTACAGTTTGCAAAAAAACCTCGGAACACTTTTTTAGCACTTCGCTAATTCTAGCATAAAAATCAAACATTTTTAAACAAACAAATAACAAATATTGATAATTAATATTGTTTGATATTTCTTTTCATTTATTGAGCTTTGCCTATGTATGGTTGATAACCTAAATCCTCAACCAAATGTCACCTTATGTTGCGTTTAGAAACACGATTTAAAGCTTTCGTTTACATATAGCATACATGTTCGTATGTGACCTGCATGATTATTCATAACTACTCCGGCGGTAACGCAGAGATGAGCGGAATTAAAGAGCTAGATTCTGATTAATGTTTTTTCTCACACAGTCATAATAAAGAAATATTATTAAAAATCATTAGTTTTTTTCGCATAATGTTAGTAAATTAATTTTATTAAAAAATCTGATGTTTTTTTCTCACTTAATCTAAGTAAGAAGTTTTATTAAATAGAAATTTTTTTTTGCTCACTCTACCTATTTCGTTTGAATTGACAGCTATGATGTCAAAATATGGCACCCAGTCGGTCCTATTCTTAGTTGAATCGCATTATATCGGCGCTAATCCATAGAAATGCTTGCGCCGTTTACCGGTAAGGACCAGTGCTGACAAGCGCTGGTCGGCTTCCAGCTTTCTTTCTGTATACGGCCTAACATGCTTTAAAAAGGAGTGAAAAGAACGGACATGTCGAGTTCGCAGTGCAAGTGAAGTGCCGGTATAATAATCTCCCTTTGCGGGAAAGCAAAAGATTTTAAGCTCATACAGCTTTGACCTTATTTACTTATATTTTATAATTTATTTTAATGTCCATAGTTTCATGGTTATTTCACATCTTCTGTAAAGTGGAAGTTACTTCCCCAAACAGGTGTTCCAATTAGAGTGGGAAATCTGAACTATATAGCTTCTGCCTGCAACTTAACCCACATTACAGTTTGTTTTTTGAGATAAAAAACTAAATAAAAGTATCACAAGTGTATCTAGGTATTATAAGCTAAATTCAATATAAATAGTAGGATAGGATGTATAAAATAGAAAGATAAGAATAGTTGATAAGTTTTATTTTATTATTCAACTTGAAGCAAAATCTTTGAATGTTGTAAAGTAGCTTTTAAAGAAAATGGTTTAGATAAATTTTCAACATCAAAGGTTTCTTTTGCAAATTCGTTTCCTTCTGGATTGTCATGTAAGCTAAAGCTTATGTTTTTTACATCATTACCGGCTTCAACAGTGCACACATTTTGGGCGAATGTTGGTGTTCCTTCTTTAAATATTTGAATTGTCTGGTCTAAATATTTTAAGTAGATGTCTTTTCCCAGAAAATCTACATCTGTACTGACATCATGAAGATTAAATTCTGGAATATCAAAGAGCATGCCTGCTTGTCGAGCACAGCCTATAGCAATCACTTCATCGGGATTTATTCCAGAAAGTAATTCTGCTTCTGGAAGTAGATTTGCTATTGCCGACTGAAATTTCGGTATTTTCATACTGCCTCCGCATAAAACTATCTTGCTTATTTTGCCATCAAAATTTTCAATTAACTTCTGAGCAGGTTCAATATACATCGAAATTTTCGAAGATATTATATTTTCAAACCTGGCACGCGATATATTTTGACTCCAATCAACACCATCTAATAATGATTCTATAAAAACATGAGCAGAATTTAGTGTAGATAACACATGTTTGCAGTTATCAGCATGTAGCATTAATTTAGCCATTGCCCTCTTGCTTTCTCGTGGGTCTAATTTCCATTTCTGTTTTACCTCTTGTGCAATAAACTCAGCCAAATCTTTTGTTAGACATTGTCCACCTAAATCAGAACGGAAAATACTTTTTTCAACAGAAATAAAACCATTACAAATTCTTAGTATTGATGCATCACAAGTTGAGCCACCAAGTCTATACACCAATACATTGATATCCTCTTCTATCTCTTCAACACTATATGCCAATAATGAAGCTGCAGGCTCACTAATAATTTGGAGAACTTCAAATCCAGCTAATTCAGCAGATTTCACTAAACGATCTCTGCTCTCATTTGACCAATGAAGTGGTGCTGCTAGAACTAGTTTCAAATCACCCTCATTTCTCATTGAATGGCTAGCGATAGTAAACAATTTAGCGTACATTTTGGTGGCAATATTGTCAGGATCCGAGTACTGAGTAGTTTCACTTGTTTCAAATTCATAAGCAAGGGTTTCTTCATTTTGTATACGACAAGACGATGAAGATTCAACATAAACCAAGTCTTCCTCATTCCAATTGCAATTCATAAGCCGTTTATTGTGCTTTATGATAGATTTAGTAAGAGCCTGACCTGATTTGGCTGTGAGGCCAATCTCCCATTCTGACCCATTTAAAGCTACAATAGCTGGTGTCACTCTGTCACCTGCATCATTGGCTATCACAGCTGCAGCCCCGTTGGTATAAGAAGCCAAACAGGCCGAGTTATTGCCAAGATGGATACCATAAGCAGTCGTCATGGCTTATAGAATATCAAGAAGAGGATGAATGACACAACACTGACAAAAATGTATTAAAGATTTGTGTTTTATACTAAATGTACTTTGGCCATGGAAAAAAATATGTTATTGGAAAACTTTGTCTATACACGTTTTTCTTTTGAATTTTTACAAACATTTACAGACGCAACACGCGGTTTTCCTTAATTTTTTTCAACAATTAGAGACTGCCATCTGCCATTGTCAAAGTCAATTTGATTTTTTTATAACGATCTCTCTTTTCAGGGAAGGCAAATGGAACAATGCCCATACAGCCTAATCTATAGTTTTATTAATCTTCTTTTTTTGCATTAGAATGTCGATGTGATGCATTCTAATTTTTCTTGGAGTGTTTGCCATGAAATATATCGAGTCAGCTTTAAAAAATCGAGATAAAAAATTATTTAATAAGTTTAGGCTGTTACAAGCTCTAATATTCTTTAATCTATCTTTAGAAGCTACGCTATCAGCTCGTAAATCTACGGTGGGAGACAATCAATATCTACTTATAGCAAATATTTACTTACTTATATTATGATCATTTTTATTGGAACTGAAAAAGAAGATGAGCTCAAAACCGGATTTAAATTCTTAAAAAAATTAAAAATGGGTTATGAACAGACTTTAAAAAAAAAAGTATTTTATGATTGAAGGAGTGGCTTCGGCCCTATCGAAAAATATTTTTTCAAAATAACTTGACAACGAATGAAGAGAATCGTGGATTTACCTTTGCGTATCCCAAGAAAGGTGACATAAAATTAAAAAAAAAAGGATTGATATTTACATAAGCGCGGTAAAAACGAATTAGTATTATCATTTCATTGATTTTTAAAACTTTTATAGGTTGCTTAAGGAATAGTACCCAGGTGCACAGTAAAAATGTTATAATCAATCAATAAATATGGATTCACGTAATCGACCAAAACTTTTATAAGTTTATGCTACTTCAGTAGTTACCTACTTAATTTATTCTGATCCACTAGGTTTAGATATTTTTATTTTTAGAAAAAAAGGTACCTAGTAATATCAGAACTAAATTCTTTTAAAGTTTGGTACATTAATATTTTGTAACATGGAGTTAGATCGAAGAGAGTCAAAGTTTCAAAATGAACGACTGCAAAAGATATTCGAATGTTTATCCCAGTGTAAGTTAGTAAGTAAACTTTTGCCAGGATAAAAATTCTTGCTTCCGTAAATTTTTAATAAACGCCTTTCATAATATTAACAATATGCGTACCGTACCTACTTTTCATAGGTGATAGAAAATGAAAAGGAAGAGTTGAAAAAACTACGAAACATTAATTTAAAATTAGAAGTGGAAATAAAAGAAGCCCGGGAACTTGAGAAGTCTCATCGATTCCATTTGCAAACATCTCGCGAGATGATCGGAAATCTACAGGAAACAGTCTCCCAGTTAATGTACTTAAAAAGAGATGTAAAGAAAATGAAAGATGAATTATCTAGCAAAGACCTAGAGATCTCCAAAATTGAAAAGGCAAGATATTCTTATATGTCCTAAAGGACAATAAACGTTTATTTGTTTTTCTAATTGTAAATTAAAATACCTACGGTTTTTTAGGAAAAGGCAGCAATATTACAAGAACATACAGAAAAAGATCATCAATTACGATTAGCTCACGAGAATGAGATCGAAGAAATTAAACTTAGATGCGAGAAGAAGGGTAGCTGATTTAATGCTTTTATATTCTTACCAGTCTACTGCTTGGGTCTGGGACTTCTCAATTTTATACCTTTATCTCGTTTTTGGGATTCCTCTATACATTTCCTTATCCTGTTCCTTGAGGGTGTTTTAAAATACTATAAATAAAGAAGTCTCAGTCTCATATTCGCCTATTCTCCATAGGCGACGTTGTAAGCCCATCAGGTAAGTAATTATTGGCTTGAATCTGCATATATTTTTTTTACCGGGAGGTACCTCATTTCCGCCTTGTATTTAAGTGGGGCGCACTGAAACTCCAGAAGGATTTTATTTCTTATCACTAAGGTGGCAAAATTTACAGCAGTATCTCACAGACAGAGGCGGCCTGTGGCCGCGACCAATCCTTATTGGTCGATGGTGTTTGAACATTCCCTTATATTGCAAGCGAATACAATTGGGGGTCAATTGCCTAAAGGAATTGCTATGGCTATCGCTATCGCTTACGATTTAATTTTGTTATTACTGACCCCTGAAGGTTTTCAAATACCTTACGCTTATTTTCTTTACCAATGCAAAAGAAGGCAGTACAAAACCTTCAGCGGTCAGAAATAAAAAAATATCGTAAGCGACAGCGATAGCTATAGCAATCTTGTTAGGCGTTTGGCCACCTGGCCGCCAACCCAGGCGCCATGAAATTCATTCCACAACTTTGTCGTCCACAGTAGGTCTTTCAAGCCGCAATGTGATGTGAAAGCGGTTGTGGTAATTTGCTTACAGGCGGTAGAACATGCAAAGAGAAGCAAGATCCCTCCAGAGGGTAATGCCCTAAATACCTATAATTACCACTGTCCTATCATACAACTTTGATTATGGCCCTGCCAGGGGTGTCATAGCGAGACTGCATATTATAACATTGTTCGTAGATTGGTTAAATTTTTCAAAACCGTGAAGATATTTCATTAAACATATATAATGAAAGGTCTCATTTGCGATGTAGGTACTGTTAGCCAATTTGATTCCTGACCTTAAGGTGATAAGCTTATTTTCTTACAACCAAATCAATAAGGTATAAATTCGCTTGAATGTATGTATCCCTGGATTACTATTTTGCAAGTTATTTCTAAATTTAAACTACAATTCGAATTTTATCTAAAAGATGATCTACTGCATTGTAAATAAAGGTCAAATTCAAAGACCTTTTTTGTTGTCATTTTTAAGCGAAATATCGGTAAAGTGTGTCAGGAACCCATTGGTTTGGTCGTACATAAATTGTTGTTTTAAGTATTAATTAAGTTGTCGATTCTGGCATGATTCTCTAAACTTAAAGCTAAATTTAACATCAGTCTCTCCTTTTCACTCTGTATAGAGAATGACAAGGATACATTGGTGTCGATTCTAGCATGATTCTCTAAACCTAAACTTAAATTTGACAGCAGTATATCCTTGTCATTCTCTGTACAGAATGAAAAGGAGAGACTGATGTTAAATTTAGTTTTAAGTTTAGAGAATCACGCCAGGATTGGCACCACTGTTGTCAATTTTAAGTTAAGGTTTAGACAATCATGCCAGAATCGACACCAATAAATCGGGTGTACCTCCGTAATAGTTGAGCAGATGCAAAATGAATCAGACACGCAGCTGGCCCAATTCACGTGCGTCATAGAGGAACTGAGAAGCAAAGTTAAGGAGATGGAAGTGGAACACAGAGACAAGGTAACGTAAACAAACAACTGTCCACAAAGATTTTTGAAAATCGCCCGTCTGAACGGTGGCAGTCAGATCACAGAACACAGAAAGAGGTTTCTGTGTTCTGTGAGTCAGACCCGGTAAATTGACAAATATTTTACCGGTAATTAATACCTACATTTATGTCTTCTTAGTAACATACCTAGCATCTAAAATAAAAGGACCATTCAAAAGAATACCTATCTACAACACCTATTTAGTAGATTATCAGTAAATATAATATACTGAATATTTATTCATATTCTTTATGTAGAGTAGCATGACGGTTTACTGGCTAGGCTTAATTAGAATATAGTTCGATTGACCCGTATTAGATTTTTTTTATAGCCAGGTAGGCAAATGACTCTACCACATCTGATCTTAAGTGGTGATAAAGTCCAAACGTGAAGATAGCTGGTACAGCAGTTATAAACTGCCACACCAACCATCCTCACCTTGCCGGCCTGCAAAAATGCTTCTTCACGTCTCTCATAAAGGACCCCAGATTGTAGGAAGGACACGTGTACCACTTACGAATAGTACGACAAAGAGTCACCGAAGAGTCAGAGAGAAATGATTCACCGAATTTCTTTGTTCGTGTAGAAATAGTGGCCAAAGTAAGGCGCTTTGCAGACGACGGGGCGGGGCGGGCCGGTCAATTTCGCCGCGTACGATAGCACAAAGTGAATCCTAAAACGCACACAAAGGGCAAAAAGACCGCGGCTGCCCGCCGTGGATCATACAAACCAGTTTATATGCAGTAACGCAGACAGCGACGCGGGGCGGTCAGCTCAGTCCGCGCCACGCGCTTTTTAGTGATGGACTATTAACTAGAACGAACGTCCTGAACTGACCACCTCTGCCCGTCGTGTGCTTTGTGTACGCGGCGCGGGCAGCCGCAGACATCGACGGGCAGACGCGGTTTTTATTGCTTCGCGGACAAAATGCCCGCCCCGCGCCGTCGTCTGCAAAACGCCTAAGTCGGTGGCAACGTAGGCCAGCGCACGTGGTCCTCTGAAGAATGAATGTCCAAACACTTTTTTCTCGAGCACATCTTTTCTTTGAACGGTATGTTAAGCCATTTGGTCCAATATATCAACAGTCGTAAGCACCTACCAAACTGTACTGTGCCCATGCCAATGTGGTGGAAGGACATGGGAATGGGCAAGACTATTGAAAAATAGCAGGAGAAAGCTTTATTTTCTATGGAAGGAGCCAATTTGTTCTTACGTCCGATATGGGTGCTGCTTAGTTTTCATAGAAACTATGACGATGCGACACGATAACGAAGCTGTCAAAGTTCGTGTTTGGGCCTCTGACGTTAGCATGTTTTTAACGCAGATGAACTTAGTGGTTCTGGAGTACGAAGAGAAGATCCAGCGAGGCGCAGCCCAGATAACACAACTCCAAGACCAACTATCACGGCAGGCTGCTCGGACGGAATCAAATATCGACGCTTATAGAAGGGTGAGAATTATTCTTAAAAACTTTAAATCTATAACAAAATTACTAGAAGAATTTTCACTCGGTACAGGTGGTCCAGGTTTCAGACGGGATCCTGGACCGACTGGATTGTTTTTCTAGTAAAATTTCCTTTCGATTGCAGCGTCTTCTGTTAATCCAAAGCATGGCAATGCTTAAATATGTAATATAATATAATGCATGGGATATTCATATTAAATCAAGGGTGAATTAGTTTCTTCTTTAGGCACGCTTATTCTTAGGTTTTGACATTTTCATAAATACCTACATTCTAACATTAACCTATTTTCCAAAACTCGCGCAAAATAGAGAGATAATTTTTAATAAGTCAGTAAATTTCATGAATAAGTTTATAGTTTTAGGCAAGCGAGCCGACCTAGTTTTCCAGTGGTGCAATGCACGATCGTCTTAAGATATCCGTTCAAAAGTTACATCCTGTTTTTTTAAATTTGTGGGGGAAAAAGTTTTTTCTTAAAAAATAATCAATTAAAATCATGAATCTAACAAAAAATAAAAGACACCGAATCTACCAAGCCAAAGCTGTTCTAAAGTAAATATTGATGAGCTGATTCTGGCACGTTACCTACCTAATGTTCTGGTGAAATCTATTAGAATTTCCAAAAAACAGTCATGACAATAACAAACATGCAACAAAATAAAAAAGGAAATGTCTTTTACAAGTTACTTAGAAGAACTTTTTTTTAAGGAAGTTAACGAGGTACTTACTTTTATAAATATTCATTTATATTCTAACATGCCTTAAGCTTGTGAGAGAATGAGAGATTTTTATATTGTAGTTGTATTACCTACGTAAATATTTGTCTTAGAATTGTCATCAACTACGCAGAATATTTTTTTGTACTTTTTCACATGTTCAAATGGGTAGGTAAGGGGGCGTCCATAAATTACGTGAGGTGTTTTTTTGAATTTTCTGTCCCTCCGTCTCCCCCTGGTGAGATGTCGTGAGATTTCATTCAACCCCCTCCCCCATACCCTAATCTCACGTGAGATTTTTCAAAATGTGGGTCTCTTACGCAAACGCGTTAGATTGTTATTGTAAAAAGAAAAAAAAATGCTTCGTGCTTTTATTTACGACTAGCTAAGACTAGTAATCAATATTGCTAAGAGTTATATAGCATGTACAATCTGCATTAAATGGACCAACATAGTATATTTTTTTTTGTTTCAATCAGAAAAAAAAATGCGTGATATTTGCCGAGACCCCCCCTCTCTCCAACATAAGATTAGATGAGATTTGACTCGACCCCCTCCCCCCCTTAAACATCTCACGTAATTTATGGACGCCCCCTAAGTGCAGGAAGTACCTATCGGGTGATATTATCGAATGTGAAATTTAAAAACAAAAATCACATTATGTACCTATTTGAAGTAGTGATGCTTAAAATGGGTTTTATTGATAAGCCCATATTGCAGTCCACCAGAACTCTCTTATCGTATATAAATGCGATTATGAAGTGTTAAATTACCTATTATTTTAAAGAAACGAATAGGTACTTACTTCCCTACTGTATTATACAATTCTCCTTTATCAACTTTACTAAAGAGGCTAATTTAATATTTTTCTACTGCTGGGAATCGACGGTAAGTTATGCAAAAATATTATCAAGAAAAATTAAATTATTTTAATCCTATTCTACTACAAGAATTTATTACCTACTCAGTCAGGCAAAACGGCTGAGCGGTCTTGGATGAAATTTGGCACATATGTTGTTTTTTTTTTTCCTGGATTAAGACATAGGATACTTTTGATCTCGAAAAGAAAAAAAATAGCTTGGTGAGGGATTCTTTAAAACTGAATTTAACGCGGACGAAGTCGCGGGCGGCCGCTCATAATAAAAAAGGTCGTCATATGAATTACACAACGACTTTTCATAGTAAAGTAGATAAAAATATATTTGAGGCTTAGGTAGTTAATATTTTGTGAACATCATTTATTTTCATTAACAATAAAAAGAGGCACTGCCCAACGAACAGTGAAGGACATCATTTGAAAGCGCCACGACATTCACGTAGTTATGTGTAATTAACTAAAATGACTATCAATTAGACATAGAAATGGACATACTTAAAATATAATTAGAAAAAAAAGTTACGTCTGCCTCCAGCATCGGTTTCCATGCATTCAATATTTAAAATTGCGTTGTCATTAGTCATTTCTAATGGTTTCTATGATGTGTTATAAATACTAATACAACTAAAGAAAATATTACTAGCAAAAATTTGACCTCGGTCAGGTTTTACACGGGCTTCGAACTCTCATCTTCCGTTGTCCGGACGTTCGAATGCCTTCTGAAACCAGCCCCCGTAGCATGAGCACCACAATTTACATTATATTATAGTATTTATCGCGTCAAACTGTAAATCTCCATAGAAATTTGACAATTGAGCGTGATTTGAAACGCGTTTATCATATCGCGGAGCTCATGCTAGGCAGGCATGCATGGTCTCGAACCTACCGATTTTTCGGTATTTCTACCGATATGGCATCTGTCCTACCGAAATACCGAAATGCAATGTTTTTCCACGATTTCTTAGAATACATGGAAATTGTCCCGATTTTTCTACCGATTTTACACTTTTAAGTCGGCAGATTTTTTCATTTATGCTTAACGTTACGGGAAATCATTTAACAGTTAGTATGGATGATCTAGTTAGTTAGATTAGTTATTCAATTGCTAAAAGTGAGATATTAACAAAAAATCATATCGTGATGACTATGTTATTTCTTCTGCTATAATAATTATGGCACACTAACAAATTCTAAAGGAATATAATCGTCAGTCGATTAACAGAAATATGCGTGAACAACATTAAAATAAATTATATTGACGAATTGAGAAAACCCCCCCGTTTGGAATCGATAAAAAAGTAACGTAAAAATTAGTCGAAAGTGTGATAAATAAACAAATATGAATTAATATTGTATTTTTTGTTATATACCGATTTTGGGTACAAATGTACCGATTTTAGAGGGCAGCTCTACCGACTTCTGACAATGAGGTTCGAGACCACTGGGAGGCCGGGCCGAGTGGAATTTTTACTAAAATATTTTCTGTACATTCAAACATCTAGCATTGAACTGATGCTTAAAAATAAAGAATATAATACCTAATCTACTAATGCAACTAGTCAATACTAAGCATCATCCAATCCAATATTTATTTAATAAAAGTAGTATTATTTATAAATATGTATATGATAATTGAACTGTATCAAACAACACGGCCTGAAAAATGGAAATGCATCCATGATAATTAATTCAAATAACATAATTATAAATTATACAATGCGCTAAAATAATTTATGTGCTCTTAAATCAAATATTTAATAGCGGTAGAAACTTCACAGAATTCTCACAATAATAAAAATAAAAACATTTATCAATGCTGTAATTACGCGTTGGTTCTACGTTCTAATGCTATTCCCAACCTATACTTAGTTACATTAAATGAGTGGCTAAACAATACTTACACGAGAGTAATAATGAGATCTCTTTAGTCTTTAATTACAGTCAGGCAGTGCACTTTCACTAAACTTCAGTGTTTTGCAGCGATTGGAAGAGCTGGAGGAGAAATTAAAACAAAGTCACTTCAAACAATATCTGGCACAGAACACCTACCCTTCCCAGTACGAAGCACAGGTGGAACGCCCCTATTCTGTAAACCGGGACCCATATCCTGAACCTTGCACAGTTGATAAGGAATCCGCCTACGAAGGAAACAAGGCTCACTTCACACCGAACACTAGCCAAAACAAAACAAAGCAAGGGAACACATTACAAGTGATGTACTATGGGAATAAAGAGCCACAGAGAAACAACGAAAAGAAAGGACAGTTTAATATAACTAAAAAGCGTAAACTGTACAACGAGAAAAACTTTCAAGATTTCTAATTTAACGTCATGTCTTTAGGTAGTAAGTACTTATTATTTCTTTATGACATCTTATATGTTAATAAATTGCACGATAATTCCGTTTTGTACAGCCCATTTTATTTCGTAACACAGCAATTACTGTTCGTAAGGGCAAAGCTTTTTTTGTCTACTCTACATAATGGTTTGTCTCTACACTCTCAAAATTTTAACAACATTATTTTGGCCCAATACCTTTTTATGCTTAATTGGGTATATTGTAAATATCACTTCTAATTTGTCTGATCTAGTCAATGAAGAAAAAATACTTCTCTAAATTACTGTTCTCTGGGGATTTGATGACCATCATTAATTAATTTAGATTTTTATAATTATGAATTGGTTCTATCTAAAGCGTCATTTATGTAAGTGATCACCTATCACTATAGGCCCCATACACAAAAATACGATACAACACATTTTTCGCATTGCGGCGTCGTATCGTGGAAATCTACAATGTGCAACGTAAAAATTCGCGACACGATATCGCTAAGTGCCACGACGCTAGGCACGCCAGTTTGTTTAAAATAACTCCCGTTATTAATTAGTGAAAGAAATTGATGTATCCATAAGTCTTTTTAATACCAACAGGAGAAGAACACGTCTAGTGCGGTCCATATTTGGACGTTAAAACTGTGGCACCGTATCAATTGTACGGTACCGACGACGTCGTGCCGTTCGTCGTGAGTCGTGCGAGGCACGTTGCGTTATCGTGTCGTGAATTTTTACGTTACGACGTCGCACAGTAAAAAGATGCCGCATCATAGCACGACGCGTCGTCGTCGCGTTTTTGTGTACTAGCCGTCTTTTTTTTTATTGAGAAACATACAAGGAACTGGCTTTATGTTATGTAATAATAATTTTATCTTCAACTTCATTTTTATGTAAAATAAGGTGGCAAATACACATAAAAGTTTGCCCCCCTAATGGTAAGCGGCCGCCATAGCCGATATTAAACTTGCGGTGCCAAAGTATATTAGGTATCTCGTTTGCCTGCCCTGATCTAATCTCCTACCCCTGTGGAGCCCTGGCACCTTACTCATGAACACAACGTCACCAAAAGGTAATGTTATTTTACTGTGATCTGCAAGACGGAAATTTTTCTCAGACGGGCGCTTCGATAGAATTTCCGCTATGCCTCAACTCAACTGCTACGCTCTCCTAAGCTCCTTCTCTTTGCAGGCTTTAATAATTTGGATTTGTGTTGATAACGCAAACTCAAGTAGGTAAGAGGAAAAACAATCTCACCAAAAACATTTTCATGTATTTTTTTATACGAACAACAAATTACTTCACTCCACCTGATCTTAAGTGTGAGTGGAGTCCAGTCGCGAAGATAGATGATGTGGCAGTAGGAGTGTCGCTCCAGCCATTCTCACCTTGCCGCCCTGAACCCAAGCCCCTACCCCACAGAGTTCTGGAACCCTACTCACCAGTAGTACCCATAGTACGAGTTTTACAATTACGAAAACTATGATAGTTTTCGTGAGCTCGCACTCGTACTAAGGGTACAGCAGAAACACAACACCATCAAAAGGTAGTGTTATTTTACTGCGGTCTTCTGTAAGGTGCAGGCTGCTTTCCTAGACGCAGCATTTTGTATGGAAACTTGAACAGCAGCGGCACAAAGTACGTGACAATGGGGTACTGTAACCCTAGCACGAACCAATATCGAATTCGTATCTTTTGCGAATCCGAAATGTTAAAAAAAATTCCATACAATATTTGATATTGACATTTCGGTTTGCAAACTATTCGAATTCGATAATGGTTCGTGCTAGGGGTACAGATCTCATTTGATAGTCATACATATATACATAACACAAGGTCAAGTAGGTACGAGGAAAGACGTAGGTATTCTTTAATTCTAAATTATATTAATAGCAACAAAGTAGGAAGTTACTTCCTCATTTTTATGGTTTGTAAATTCGTTGAAATAATAAAATTTATGACCAGAATAATTACAAGAATGATCTAAGCAATAGACTGTATTGTATAGCGCCCAGATCATATAATGTTGCATCAGCAGGTATAATAAAGCATCGGTTATTATCAACGAAAAAGTTAATTAATTCTTTTATCTATTGCCGTTCTATCTACGAACTATGCTGTTGCTTTATCTAATACTATGATATTATTCGAAATAAGAATGCGGTTATGAAAATATTACATTACTATTCATAAGTTACATTATGACCCAGATTAGAACCTGCAAGTACATCACTTGAAGCGTAAATTGCTTGTATTCATTTGGGTTAAATGATTTACATGAAAATTAGCGTTTATACGCACGAATTAAAACTGGTACTTAGAACTAGAAAATTTAATTCATAAACTTAAGTATAGTTCAGTACGTACGTAACTAGGTACTTACCCAAATTCCTTAGATAAGCAAGCTGAATGAATGAGCATTTAACAATATAAAATTTAAAAATAAAATCACCTCTCGCCATCTCCAACGATATATGACTTCATTTTGTCATTCTATATGGTGTATTATGGTATGTTTTCATTGTTGACGACAAGATCTCAAGCCGCCCTCCGCAAAAATGTAAAAATATTGGAATTAGCCTGTCGTCCCTCATGTTAGGCGGGCGAGAAACCGGCGCCTATCGCTATCCGGGCGGATGCATATATAAATATTTCTATCATTAACAACTTATTAGCCTAGCCCCAAAGTAAGCACTGTAAGGCTTATATCATGGGATACTAGGGTAATGGGTAGAATACATATAGTGATACATATATGAGTATATAAATTTATATACAAATACTTAAAAACATCCATAACTTAGGTACAAATGCTCGTATTCATCACACAAACATATGCCATATCGGCATTCGAACTTGAGACGTCTGAGTAGTTATAATTTTTATTTTTTAACCATGTAACTGCATGATGTTTAAATTTTAAGAAAATATAACTAGAAAAAAATCCACGCGGCAGCAGACGGGACTCGAGCCCGCACCCTCGCTATCCGGGCGAATGCACTAACACCGCGGCCCTGACGGCCGCGTCTGAGTAAGTACATTAGGCGTACATTACACACCCGGCCACGGAAGTCATCATTGGCCCCTTTGTGTTATAATTATTATGCATTCGTTTTGTAAATTTCATTATCAATATACTTTTTCCACATCCTCCACATTTTCACCAAGACACTTCCCAACCTGTAATTTCCCTTTTTTTCTCACATCAAACAGTGAAACTTTATACACTGACGGAATCTTATCTTCCTAAGTATTCGTAATTACTGTGTTTATGGTAAGAACTTACTTTCTTTGATAGTATCACTGCTCGTAGTCACGACGCGAATGTCGTTTTTATAAAATAAAGTGATATTATCTACGGATATTACCCACAAGCCTATTTGTAACCATAATGTTTCAATATTAACAGTGAAAGTGAAGATTATGGTTTAAGCGCAATAGCTTTCAATATGGACAAGGAATATCGAAAGCTCACCACAAGATAATGAATTCACCTTACCTGTTTCTTTTGTACCTAATAATTCTATTGGTGAAAAAATCTAATTATTTAAAACTCAAAATTTAAAATTATACTAATAAGGAAGTCCCAAACAATTATTTTTATTTTTGGTAAGTTAACTATACATAAACCGTGGATGTTTTAATAAAAACTGCTTTTATCTTTGGTTTGTTTTTATTGTTAAGCAAAATTAACACCATAAAGTAACACACCTAAAATAGTTTATACAACAAGATAACTTATTTAATATGTAGTAACATAATGACATGAGCATTAGTTAAAAAGACTTTCTTTTGGAACCCATGGTAGCGAAATCCTATAGGTCCTTGCATTGCTTGCATTTAATTAGTATTGCGTATCTTAGATACTTAGTATTAATTACCTGTGGAATAGTCCTAGCAGATAAACTAATAAAATGTCAAAAAATAATGATTTGGTTTTCTTTTAATTTATAATATCAATTGAAGACAAAATATTCATAAGGCAGATGAATTTTTCAAATAAACAATAAGTTCGTGAATTTATAATAAAATTAGATACCGAAGTACTTATTTTTTTTATTTACTTATGGTTAACTTACAGTTTACCAGCAATACGTAAACAAAAAAGAAAATAATCTTTGGAAAAAAGTAATATTTCAACAGTTTTTTAATAAATAAATTTCTTAATCCACTAGTTAAATTATTGACTTAACGAAAATATAGATAAAACTTGACATTCTTATGAGCCTAGTTAAAATAAACTTGCAGAGAAACATTTCGGAAAAACGTGAATTGTGCTAAATTCTTAATTAGTGTAAGTAAATAACAGTCGTGATAAACAAGAAAACACAAAGTTTAACTGTTCTATTCAAAAAGCCTTGAATTGGTTTATAAAAATACAATATATAAAATTACCCACTTGATCGATTCATGATAGAAGTTTCAAAATGTATAAAAATAAGTGTTCCCTTATGCAAACGCTTAGTTAAAACAAAAAAGCGAATTCACCCTGGTACTAATTAAGCAGTGTTTTGTTCATATTATTCAAATAAAGTTTTGTAAAAGTATTGAATTTTTTGGTTCTGAGATTTGGTTTATCGCAACAAAAACCGTGAGTTGCACCAACTTACTTTAACTTTAACTATTCAGTCAAAGTACCGGTTAGATAAAAAATGGGTTAGGCCATTTGACGATGGTCATTTTTTTTATTTATTTAAAAAAAACATGGTTAAAACGAGTGCATAATTAATTGTCCTCGCTTAGTAAAAACAATTAGTAAAAAGTTATAGTAAAATTTAACCTTAACTGTAACTAGCTCTGTGGTGCAACTCACACTAAATAAAATTAGTCGAAGCTTATTTTTCTTATGTGTCGATCATTGGTTTCTTATGAGTCTATCAAGTGAGTTCCAACTGCAGGAGTAGTCGATCTGAAGATGACCATACCTCGACAGGTGGAAGTTGTCTGGTGCAGCCTTCGGTAGCGGTCTAGCCCAGTCCTCGTAGTCTGGAGACAGGGTTTCGTACGCGAGATGCTCGTACGCGTCTGTCAACCTTGGAAATAAAAAAGATTGGTTTAAGGTTCTATTGAGAA